TACATCTACATCTACATCTATATATATATATATACATATACATATACATATATACAGACAGACAGACAGACAGACAGACAGACAGACAGACAGGCGGACGAACGGACGGACAGAAAGGCAGACAGACAAATACATGTGCTCTGTATCTTTCTCTCTACATTAATACATGTACATATATATATATACATACATACATACATACATACATACATACATACATGCGTATATCTATGTACTATCCATACATATATATATACACGCATACATAGACTTTTTTCTGTAGGATATTGATTGTACACAAATATAAACTCACACATATTAAGTGTATATATATATACATATATATATATATATATGAGCACGTATGAACGTCTATTCCGTTTCTTCATGTAGTTACGTCAGTGCAAAGTACCTATCGGTAGCAATCTTGGCCCATCATAAGATGCTCGGCGCTCACGGCCTGCGGGGGAGGTGTGCAAATCAAGCGAAGGCCGCGTCGGTCAGCAGGCAGCCTTGACACACGCAACAGCACAAGCTCTCTGGCATCCTCGCACGGGCAAAGACATGGCAAAGGCCGTAGCGAAGGGCAGAACAGCAAAGGACCTGGGCCAGCAGCTGGCTCCTTGTCTCGTCGCCGAAGATCACCGAAAAACCCCGGGTCGTCCCATTGGAGGTCTTGTGAATGTGCTGCACGACTCCACAGCCGTGCTTTCTGTGAGTGACCTGTGAATAAAGCATGGAAGTCAAGATTGACGAAAGTGCTACCTGCGGCCAAGTTGCCAAGATGCCCTCTGGCGGGGCACTTGGGTAGGGGTCCTGGCAATTTAGCATGCAGCACAGCTCTGGACTCTTCGACGCTTGCATACTTGCATCTGCTGGCCTCCATCATGCAGCGGTAGCCGGTTAATTGCATGTGCTCGGCAAAGACTGTGTCAGCCAGCGAGACTGTGCAGCCACCTCTCCACAGGTGTACCAGGAGAGGAAGTGTGCACATCGATGGCACCGATTTTGTCGACTTCGGCTTCTGTACCCCTGGCCTCCTTTGGCTGCCTCAAGTTTCAGGAGCACTTCGTTCGAGTTGATGCGCCGGACGATGCCGACAGAGTCCGGCTTCAGCACCTGCCGTGTCAAGACCCTTGCAAGTGTGCAGGGGTTACCGGGTGCTCCACTCGTTTTTTGGCAGGTCACTCCAATGGCCGGCAGCACAAGCTCTTTGACAGTCCTTAGGCCATGAGATTTAAGGGATACTCCTGACGCTTCGTCTGAGGTAGACTAGTAAGAATTGACTGCAACTCGCTGAAGAGAGAAATGATTCCGCCAGCCGGGGATCATCACGACATCTCCAACGTTGATGGGCGGGCCATTCCATGCCGAGAGAACCTGAAAACACAAAGCTGTGAGACCCGAACTACGGGTACAGTACCCTGTGACAAGTCTGCAAAACGGCCAGAGTTCCACCAAAGTCCTCAGCGCCGGGAGGCTGGAAGGCTTCTGGAGCTCCGGAGTTGGATGTGCGTGGGCCTGGGAAGGGCCAGTTTGGCCATCTTCCTCTGGTTCTACCTGCGCCACCTTACTGTGAAGCCGGATGGCAGCCAGCCGCCCTCGGAGAGAAGCCATGCGTCCCCCAGGTCGAAGCCCTCCACCACCTCAGCCAGAGGCAACGAAGAGCATGAAAGGGGGCCTCCCCCAGCTCTCAGCTGAGATGCAGTGCCTTCCTCGACGTGCTCAGAACCTCGGCTCCGGGGCTCTGGAGCTTCGAATTCCCACGGGAAGACTGACGACGGCCACCTCGTGATTACAGCGACTCTTGTTGCGCAACCCTCTTGTCAGAGTTCTTCCGAGCGACAACTGCCGTCGTCATCCAGTCGTTGAGGACTTCCGGGCATCTCGCGGCGCTTTCCGAGCCTGGTTGAACGGAACTGCGGCGCTGCAGAGCATCGGTCGGACTTTCCTCTACAATTTACGTGCCGAACCAACTCGAGATTATCATTGCACCGCTACGTCTGTCTGTGACCACGACGAGGGGCCGCAAAGATCGGCGCCCTTTCCTGCATTTCAGGTGGCTAAAGTTGACGATGTACCTCGACAGCAACATGACTCCGCGTTAGAGACAAATCTTGATCATCGTGATCTCCAAGACCGCTTTCGGTATGATAACCAGGTTTGTAAACCTCTACGAGGTTGAGCAGCTCTGAATCAAATATCTGCAGCCAAGCGGCCTTTGCTTTGTAGCACAATGCAGCATATATTCGGCCATTGTCAGCGCGTGGTGATCGACCGTGGACTCAGTAAACCTGGAACATGGCGCGCAGGGATTGCTGCGTTGCTGCTCTCTTGGCCATGAGACTGAACATGGAGGAGCGCTCGGTCTAAGTCCTGAGTCCGAAGGTCAAGGTCCTACGAGTCCTAACGGTAAAGATCCCGAGCTTCGCAGGTCCAAAATGTCAAGCCACTGCAGCTTCACCGTACTGTCAGATGCAGCCTCAACCCGGCCAAGCGTGCCTGCACCGTCAGCTCAGGCGTACCAGTTGGGCCCATACTTCGGTTTTGCATCCTGCCTTTAGACAGGGTCCCGTGCTCAAGCTGCAGCACGCGCTTGAGGCACACCTGCGCAGCACAGTCTAGAAGAGGTCACGATGATCAATCGCTCGAGTACCCCACGCCTCATCGCCGGTCGATGGCGGCGTTCGGCCTCTGGACGACAAAGGTAGCTCCACTCCCAGCTTCTCGGAAAGGCGCCTTGGTGGCTGGAGCTCGTCATTTCCGATAGTGGAGGGCAATGCAAAGCAAATCCCCTGCCTGGCCGCTGCGTCGTCACGTCTGCGGCAAGCAAGGTCAAGGGCAGAGGCTCCCTGCCAGCACCCGGGGTTACACGGCTAGCGTTCCTCGTTCCTCAACGGAGCACAGCAGGAGCGTGATGCGCACTCCTCATCGTCAGGCCGTAATATGTCTGCAACCTCCACCGCAAGAGCTGGCCAGCAATATCCAGCAATCAGCTCTCTGCTTAAACTGACGGCCAACGAATCCGGAACTTCAGCTGAGAGACTGAGCAGTCCAGCTTCTCCAACATGAAGGAAACCAACTGGCCAACAACCTTCCAGAACAACGAAAAAGGCGAGCTGGATAAGGTGGCGGGAGCGGACCCATGGATCTCACTGAGGCTCGACTATGGCTCTTCTGTCTCCGGCCTCTGGTTCCAAAGAGGTTTCCGTGTAGCTTTCTGGCCCAGGCATCCCCAGGCACTTCTGTGGCTTCCTTTAGTTTGGGGCTTTTCGTCCCAGCCCAGGGATTGCACTTATCCATTTCATGGCACGCCCGCCCCAGAACCAAACAGGGAGGACCAGCTTTCGCGTTCGGAAACAACTTGCTTCAGGGCTAGCTGGTGTTTCGGAGTTTCATTTCGGAGGGACCGGAAAGCCCTGGAAGTTGGAATACGAGTGAGAGTGTAAGCAACAGGGAATCGGCTGCCCGACACACAGGATTGGCAACACGACCATGCTAAAACAAAATTGCATCTCCGGCAGCAGCGCCTGCATTTCGGCCTTCTGCTACGTTACGATCTACTGCTGCTTCCGGTCCGCCTTGCTATCCTCCCCCTCAGCAAACGGATGACAAAATGAACAGAACAAGCTCAATTCTGGACATCAAGCGATACTGTAAGCCCCTCTGAAATAGCCATCTGCCCTGAACCCTGAAACCACCCGCGCCGTGGGGAAGCCGCCCAGTGCCGCGGCATGCAGCGGCAGCCGACCCTTCCGATCCCGCGTGAGGACTGGCAGCGGCGGGGGCCTCAAAGAGTCAGAAGGTGGTCTTCTGGGTGGGGGGAGACAGCGGGCCATGACCATTACAATGGTCGTAGCATGGTTCATAGAGGTTGCGAAGAAACTGGTCACGACTATCATGCGAATCTTCTCCTCGGTCCTTCTTCAGGAGGTGCTACCGCTAGCGGCTCATGCTGACTCGGTCTGCAGGGTCTTCCGGACCGCAGCAGCCCACACAGGGGGCCCCAGAAGCCCAGAAGCGGAGAAATTGAAGCCGAGCAACTCAGAGGAATCGTCGTCCTCCTGCAGGAGTCAAACTTGGAGAACTGCGCCGCTAAAACCCTCAAGACCAAGCGAAACACAGGAGCAGGCAGATCTCGCGCCATTCCTCATCATCCATTCTGTTGTAGAAGCCGCGAAGCTTCACCCGATGCCAACCTCAGAGCAACAGCCCAGGGTCCGTGACAGTTCGCTAGTCAAGTCCCGGGAGCCGATCGAGCTGTGATGCTGACCAGTAGGAACACGTGTCAGGCAAGCCGGATCGATTTAGGCGCAGGCGCATTCCCAAGATGGAGGAAATCAAGCTCGCTCCAGGTGCGCTTTAGCTATCGAAGAGCTTCCGCCAGGCAACACCTGTTGAAGCTGCCGTTCTCGTCCAGGAACCTCGCAAGAATTTCTTTCACCTCCGCAGGTCATGTCATGTGCAAGACCTGGCCACGGCTTTTGAAGTCTTGGCCCATGGCTACCAGGTGCCGGCCAAACGCAGCTGCGAGGTGGAGAGGCGTCCGCCCTTGCGCCTGCGTGGGGCCCGCGGCACGAGTGGTCAGAGCAGGACGGTGCACTGATGCCAGTGATGTGCACTAAGAACCAGAGGCGAGACTGAGTTGGGTACGTCTGGAGTCGCCAAGCCAAGTATAAGCTGCACACCGGCAGGGTTTCGCGTTGCTGCTTGATACCCATTGAACCACCTCATGGCAATTGCCGGCCGTTGATAACGCAGGACTCCGACACTGGCACGGAAGCTGCACCGTCCAGAAGCCGCCAACCACTCTCTGCTTGCAACTGGGGAGCCGCTCCGAGCCGTGGATCGCCGCTGTGTGCAGGGCATGCCGGCCACTCTCATCTTGCTGGAGCTTGTCAAAGCCGAGGTCTGAAAAATAGCCTGCGATGCGGTGTCACACACAGCTCTCTCAACAGCTTTTCTCACAACCAATCGCGCCGAGCAGCCATTTTGCCGGGCGCAGAGCTGTGCGGGTGTCTTGTTATTCACTCCCTTGGCATTCGGATCTGCTCGGTGCTCGATGAGGGTCATGATCACCTCGTATCCGGCACAGGCGGAGACTGCGACTCCCACTTCCAAGGCGTCGCTCTATGCAGATCCGGTCACAGACACGTGCTTGTAGCGGCTGGCCAAGTGGATCGGCAACCATCCATCCTGCCGAGGATTCCCGGAGGAGCAAGACTTTAAGCAGAGCAAGCAATCCCTGAATTCTGAGTAAGCCATTCACAGAGTACATGAATACAGGATGCCGACTCCTTCTGTGGATGGTGGACGTTGCTCCTGTCATCGAATTCTCACTAAAGAGGGTGAACCCTTGAAAGGTGATTGGTCTAGCTCTTGGCTCCAGTCCAGTTTCTGGAGCGCCACCTTCACCCAACCAAAAAGTTCGTCTCAAACCTTCGACGCCGACCAAGACCTTTTGCGTACAGCCCTGCGAAAGGGTCGTGAGACCATGCAACCCTTATCCTCGGCTCCTGAGCTTGATCAGGGCCTCGACGGCTTCCTGCCCAGAGCTACATCTTGGAGCGGCTCCTACCGCTTCGACCACTCCTCAGTTTGTGTCCTTTTCATCGGTCTCATAGACACATTAGACACACTCATCACCACCATGATTCGAGTCACTTGTCCTCATCATCGCCTGCGTGACTAGCAGCCTAGCATCACTGGCATCATCATCGTCATCACCAGCATCATCATGCCACCACAACTGCTGCCGCAGACACCTGCTGATGCCACTCCTGCCACTGCCGTTGCCGCAGTTGCTGCTGTTGTGATGCTGCTGCTGCCATGCTTCTTCTGCCAGTATCCAACTTGCGAGACTGCTTGTATGTCAACCGTGTTCCAAAGGTGTCGTTGCATGCTGCAGCGAAGCCATGATGTAGTAGGGCAGAATGCCCCATCACATGCTATAGCGAAAGATGAAACCGAACAAAGACTGGGTCGTAGTCTTGCGATATCTTTCGACTACATATGTCTCTTTGATGCGAGTTTTCAATACCCAATGACCCAGAGAAGGCCAGGACGGTAGCGCGAGAGCTTCGGAAGTTGAACACGAAGCGGAAACAACAGCCGCTGATTCATGCACCGCTCTTGCCTTCTTCCCTTCTATGGCGGCGCAGTGCAGAGGATGTCGTCCATATCCTCAAACCGTTGACAGACAGTGAAACGTCAATAAAACAATTGATTTCGTGCTCCGGCTCCCGGCAAGAACCCTGTGCACTGAGAGGTGACGCTCTTCAGGAATCTTCAGGAGAGAGAGCATTCCAGCCCGGGCATCTGCAGGGCTTGGGCTCGAGCGCGTCGCAGCGGCAACATCAGCACGCAGTCCGACCATGTGTCGAACAACCTTAGTCACCCTGTGACGCCTCCACGAATTCCCAGCAGTTTCAGAGGCCCCAATGGAGCGTGCATCAAAGTACCACATATATCCCTAGTTCAGGTCCAAGCTTACGCATTTTAGTACATAAGCACAAGGAGGAAGGACATAAAACAAGACTTAAGCATATAATCAGGGAATGTTCAGGGAAGGACAGAACCGGATGGATCTTAGAGAACAAAAGCAAGAATACTGACTAATGCGGAGGGATAAGAACTGGCGAGCGGATGTGGCAGTGCACGAATGACGAAAAAGGCAGCATGACCAGTGATAATCGCAGTCACTTTGAACAGCCTTTCACGACACGAGTATGGACGAGTCAGAGAGCTTAAGGTGCAACAATGATTAGCATAACATCTGCAAACCCTTTCAACACACACAACGGACAACACATCAATGTGATTCTGGCGGAAAAATCCAGCAAAAGCAACTTCAACGAGACAACTTGTGGTTCGAGTGAAATCACAAGGGCAGAAACAAACACAGATGAAGAAGTGCTTCAATAATTGCCCAGTTGCGATGAACAAACAGCCTTTGCATGTCGCAGTAATGTGTGGAGGAGACGAGCATTTCTCCGCACCCACATTGACTCTGCTGAATGCTGAGGCCCCGTCCGCTGTGTTACCGAAGCGCGCCGCCCAGTGTAAGGCTGTCATGCCGTCCTGCTTTCAAGTATTTGTTCTCAAAAGGTTCCGAATTTAGAATTTGGTGTTTGGAGCTTTTGGGGAGGCTGCCTAAGGATTCAAGTGGAGCTTTCTCGTGGCGTCCTTTGCTCAAGCCTTGACTTCGGGAATGGGGATCCTCTGTTCGGAACCTGTGCTCCTCATCTCTGCCAATCTAAGCCGTCACATGGAGCTTAGCCAAGTCGACGCGTGGATTTTGCTCTGATCGCGACAGGTCCTTCTCCATGCTGGTCATGTCCACTCGGCACTTGGCCATGGCAAGAACGATGTCGAAGTGTCCAAACCTTTGGCAGCATCGAAGCATCGCAGGCTCAGGCTCTGCAGATTTGGGTCCGGGACCTGCAAGCAAGCGCGAAGGGTGTAGAGCCGGTGGCCTGGATCGTCACGGAAACGGTGCTTCGATGGAGAAACGTGGAGTTTGCACTGATGCACAACTTGCTTTGAGACAAGGCGCATCAGCAGAATGGATATCGGCCCCACCCTCGTCCACCAGCTTCGTGCATAAGCTGGCGTGCCCCCGCCGAGCCTTTGCGAACACTATCCGTGCATCAACAATTCCACATACAGTACTGTATGTGCAGCAGGACCCTCAAGACTCAAGACCAGGATTTCAGTTTTATCCGAACAGTAGAAACGTGTCTCAGACGGGATCTAAGTCTCATCCTGACAGAAACTTTTGACTCGATCCATTTATGCTCACGGCTTTCATCAACATGTGCGAGCCCGGCCATGCCTTCACGCAGATCACAGGAAGTGCACTGATCGTACGGCCCTTGCATCATAAGTCTGAGTTTATCTCGCTTCTTCGATGCCACGTCGCGGCAAGGTGAAGCGCAGTTCGTTGGTGGCTGCAGCGCGCTTCCACGTCACCTCGGCTTCGACAAGCCAAGCAATCAAGGAATCCGTATGATGACTTCTGCTCTCTTCCCAAACTAAGTAAAACTCGTGCTTCGGCTTCAAAGGGCCTTTACTCGGATCTGCTTCAGGCTCCGACTTTGGCCGGGAACTGTGGGCTCGACTCGACACTATCCGATGAGATGCAGCGCTGTGCTTGCCAGCTCGTCGGCTTGCAAAGGCCGCAGAGGCTAGGTGGGCAAGTTGTGTCGCATGTCAGCTCTTGAATGGAAACTTTTTGGGCGACTTTGGGAACCGAGGTGGGGATGTTTGATTTACTTCAGACGGACAGGCCCTGTGTTTTCGAATGCAAGAGAAAGACAAACCAACGACAACAGCAGTTAACCTCGCCACCTAAATCTGACGAAGCCAAACTCATGATTCTATGCTAGTAAGTCCGTAGCTTCATCCCGGCGGCTCTTCATCTCCAGCAGCTTGCCGATGTTCCGGAGCTTGCCCCACTGCGCTGCAAGATGCAAAGGCACTTTCTGGCCAACCTGCAAAGATGCTGTAAACTCTGGACCCGAAATACTTGTTGATCCCCGACCCCTGTTCAAAGAGCAATCGCGAGGCCGAGCGACATCGGTCTCGAGCAGCTCGACGCCCCACGCGGCTAGGTCCTAGCAGCATCTAGCATCTGAGAGAACTCTGCTCAATCGATCATTCCCTGAATCACACCGCCACAGCAGCATCCGACTTTTGCCGGTGGCCTCAAGAAGTTCGGGGCTTGAATCGGCGGCCGCTGCGATGTGCAACGCATTGCGGCTGCTGCGCAGGTCCTGCCACAGCCACAATCCAAGCCACCCCAAACCCGCGTTCATTGTGACCTGGTGGCCACTGTGGCTTGAAAGTCCTGGCAGTGGATGTCGGCACCACCGTCGCGGAGTGCACGAGCGCAGTCATCGTGGCCACGTCTGAGGCAGGCTGAACAAGCTCGACCATCGGGTCTCAACTGATAAGTGCATCCCCTTTCCTCGGCTCCAGTCTCCAGCTGGGCTCTCTAAAGACTCTAAAGAGCCCCGCCTGATTGCCCAATGGAATGCCGTCCACCCGGCCCCGTCACGTTCGTCAGGCGGGCTTCTGCTCTCCTGCAGCTTGATGCAGTAAGTGCTATCTGTGATGACGTCCACAACTCAGGAATGTGCAGGCCTAAACGATGACCGCAAGCATTGCCAATACTTGCTGAACACGCAAGCATGAACAATGAACAGCCATGAGGGGTGAAAGTTCATCGTCGGTGATCTTAGTTTTTGCATCTCTCCCGTCCAGAAGCAGCTTGGTCATCTTTGCATGCCCATTCAGCGCCGCCCAGTGCAGGGATGTGCGGCCAAACCTTGGGCAACTCATGACTGGAGGCTCGATGACCCTTGGGCTTGCTCATGTCTTGAAGAGCCACACGGTCTTGGCAGCTACGTCGGCGCCGAGTCCTGCAAGGACGGCGACAGCTATGCAAGAAGGGCATGACTCCAAGAAGCCCCTCTCCTAGCAGAGCTTTCACGGCCTCTTCGTGCCCGAACCTGCACTACGCGCTGCAAACCGCCGAGGCGAGGCTTCTGAATGCTGTCCGTCTCCCGCCTGGCGGCGAGGTGCAGCGGACGAGTGCCGTCACAATCGCCCGTCTCCAGGAAGCCCAACGCAGCCAGGGCCTGATGAAAGGAACACACAAGAAGCCGGAAGGAGCAATGGGGTGAGTGGCCTGCAAAGGACCCACGTGGTTCCACTGTGCCGCCAGATGGAGTGGCGTCCGCTTGTTGCCGTGCTCCGGTATGGCCCTGCACTCCACATCACCCCATCTTCACGACATGACCCTCCTGTTGCACGAAGTGCATTAACCTCGCCTCTTTTGCAGCAGAAAGTCCACGGCTTCAGTGCTGCCCGACAGGACCGCAAGATCCTGAGAGTGAGAACAATCAGCTATGGCACCGTGCCTCCGCCTCTGCAGTCGAAATGTACTGGGATTTCCTGAGCACCTTCCAGTGAAGGCCTGGACCCGAACAAGCCCAGTGTCCAGGCAACTGTGCTGATTTTTGTCCAGCTCCTGAGACGCACCGGGCATCAAGGCAACGGTAGCTTAATTGCAAGGCCCTTCAACCTGTCTAATCTGGAAGCAGCTCCATGGCTTCATGCTCGGAGCTCCTGGACCAGAGCTCCACCCGCATAGAGAGGAAGCAAAGCCGCCAAGGTCTCTGCACAGCCTGCAACGTGAAAGGGCATTTTAACATCTACGCTCGAACCTGGAGGCGTTCGTGTCGCCTGCCTGATTCGGCTGCACGGTGCAGCGGGAGCCGACCAAATTTGTCACGATGCTTTGCATGGCTCGGCCAGTGCTGAACCTCACCGAGTCTAGGATTGCGAGCAGAAACCGGGCAGGTTAGGCTTTTGAGGCTGGGGGGATGCTCGGTGTCTCAAGTCGAATGCCAAGCGATGCCAAGCGTCCACCAGCTGAAGGGCTTCCAGGTCTCGGCAGTACCGTGCCGCCAGATGCAAAGCCTGGAAATGGCAACCGCGGTCTTCGAGTCCTTGACCGACAAAGTTTTCGCGCCTTCTGGCCAAGCTCATCTTCGCGATCCGTCACTTCGTCCTTGAGTCCTTCGCATTGTCCCACAGGCTTTTTGATTCGAGTGTTGTGGCGCAGTCAGAAGAGTGTCCTCGAACCTCATCCTTCTTCTGCTCGCCCTCCCTGGAATTGCATCAACCATAAGTCGTTCTTAAGCAAGCTTCCCATCGGTTGAGTACGCGAGAAGCTGGCCGGGTGGGCTGGTAACTGAGACCGTTTTTCATCATGACGTGCAACTCCTGAAACGCTGCGTTGGCCTTCTCGGACCGCCTCGAACGGGGGCTTTTGGAAGAAGCGCGCGCCCGCGCCCGTTTTGTGGAGCAATGAGCCCCCGGCACATTGTCTTCGACACTTTCTTGCTGCAGAATCTCGACGTCGCCCTCCTCGACCCGGTCATGCCCGGTGTTCTGTGGTAATCCGAAGACCAGGGCCGGTGACTAGGAAGCAAAACGTCACACCTCTCAGATACAGAGCAGCTTCAATGCAACCTGCCCCTAAAAAAATCCTCGGCACGCTGCACGCTCCTGCGCCGCTCGATGCAAGACCGTTCGGCGTGGCGGGGCATCTGTCGGAGGCCTGTCGGAACACGCCAAGGAGTCGAGTCGATCCAGGAGGAAATAGTGGAGTTCGAAACCGAAGCTGGTGGGCTAGCGCTCAACCCTTAGAACCATAGAACCTTGCACTTCATCGAAATGAGAGTCATAACATTCTTCTCCTCCGTGATGCAAGCTTTCAACTTGAGCAGTCTGGAATCTCCCCCCAGACATACCGCGCTTTCCCCGCCAGAAGAGCTCCCGCTTCCAGGCTCAGCACGCGAAAAACGACCGCGACTTTGCCTGGCTCAAGATCTCCCTCGCTGCTCTTTGTCATCTTTGGTGAATCCCAAAGGGATCCACTCTGAAGGCGCAACGGTACGACGTGTCTGCTCTTGTGTCAGCAGAACCGTTCTGACTTCCGTAGCACCCCGTGCACGGAACAAGCCAATGAGCATGGTGAGACCCTCAAGAACGAGAAACCAGCCCTACTTGGATGCCGAAACCCTGTCTGGCCTTCTCTGGCGGTTGCGGTTTGGGTTCGTCCCCGGTTGAAGCCAGTAAACCTCTCGTACTGCTTCACGATGCCTGGGACGAGGACACATGGAGCATGACAACTGAGGCGAACCTCGCAATTTCTGCAGCCTGATCGTTCAGGTATCCAGACATGTTCAGGAACCGAAATGAACCGAAATGTGGCAAGGTGCAGCTGCAACAGCTTGAAGTTCAAGCGCCAGTTTCGCGAGTAGAGTGCGTAGCCTGCCTGTCAGTGGACAGGCTCCCGTTCCGTGGATTAGGTCGCATGTTGCGAGCAGAGCATGAACGCATCAGTACAACCGTGACAGCGCCAAGTCCAGGGATGAGCCTTGCGCAGCACATCGAACAAGCTAGCTTGCACTGCCAAGGCAAACCTTGAGCTTCGCGGTCTGTTGGCTTAAAACTTAGGGTCTTTGGGTGCGTCTGCAGCAGTTTCACTTCAGATCAGGCAGAGGGCTGCTCAACCCCTACGGCATTCGAGACCTCGCTGATGATGGTGTCGCGATCCTTGCAGGCGTTACGAGGGAGCATCCAGGCAAACAGGAAATAAGTCGGCAGCCCGTGGTGCCTTTGCTTTTGCTCTGACAATCACAACAGGAGCTTTGTCGCCTCTTGGGCTGTCGCATCTCACATGCAGTTTGACTCGTATGACACGTATGATGATTCTCCCCACGGCCTGCCCGAGAACTGAGAAAGGACACGAAAGAGTTCTACCCTTTTCTTCCCGAACCCGGCTCGGCCTGCAGGTTGCTGGCAGCCGCATGCCTTCATTGCAGGTCTGTGGATTTCGGTATGAAGTGTTCAGGGTGCAGATCCGGAAGGTTTCGGAAGTCCTCTCTGTACGGATTGATTGGTTTGCGGTTTGGGCATGTACCCAGAATCCTTATGAACCAGAAGCCCCATAGAAGCGTCTATGGCTTTATGACCCCAGGCCCAGATCCCCCTAGAGGCTCCTTGAAAGGCTCCCTTCAAGTACCTAAGGGCCCTCCTCTGACTCCGAGGGGCTGTGGCCGCAGGTCCGAGAGGCGCTCCGCCAGCGCCAGGAGCGAGGCGGCCAGCGGCGGGCTCTCCCGCACTCGCCTCAAAAGATGAGCGCTCAAAAGACTTGGCTTGGGACTGCGGATGCTAAGCATAGACATGGCAAGAGTAATCATTGCCTTAAGCTTTGAGCTTCAGGTCGGAAGGGTTTTCGTCGTCGCCTGAAGCTCCGGGTCTCGGGTGATTGTCATCCCAGCTATGATGATGATGACGATGACGATAACGATGCCGAATCCACAGCATCAGGATGGTTCCCCATGCGAATGCGACTACTAGGCTGCTAGGATTACGTTTTGCTGTAGTACTTGACCGTGAACAGCGGAAAAGGCTGCTCTGTCCGAGCTGAGGTGCTCTCCCACCAGAACGCCGTGCTGCGTGGCGACATAGAACGGATGCCGGAGCACCTTCGGAGCGCACCACTCAGAAAGATTGGTGCCCTTGTGATCATTTTCAACAGGTTTTGCCTTTACCGCAAGCGACTCCAGTGCTTCGGATCCGCCAGGCTGTGCGATCTGGGCTAGCACGAACCCCCTGGACTATGCCTAAGACCCACATACCTCAGGAAAAGGCCCCACCTCGGGGCTGTGCGCCCACGACCGCTGTACTTCAGAACGAACCCTTCCATACCCATCAGCTCCAAGAGGAACCCGGCGTGTCCTTCCTTTAGCCTAGTCCCCTCAGGCCATGGCACACCAGTCCTTAGGACCTCGTAGATGCACCAGATCCTGGTAAGCGGCATTGCCGACTCGTCCATGACCATCACCTCAATGCCACAGTGACACAAATCTGCACGCGAAGCCATGGCAAGAGTCTTGGCAGCGCAACACGACCACAAGCTTCAGATGCAGACCACCGCTTTACAGGTACTCGATGCGAGGGCAACCTGCACTGGGGGGCGATCACCCGCTGCCACATGCACAGCAATCAGCCTGCCTCGAAGGGTGACTCTTCAAGGGAGTTACCCAGGTTGACGGTCCTGAGGACAGGAACAACCCAGAGTTCAGGAGTTGCCGACACCGCCTGCGCGGATTGTACAAATAGTTGCAGAGAGCAGACTTCGGGAGGAAGACAAGCTTAAAAGTCCTACCTCGTGGGTGCAACCAAGCCAAGACTTCTTGAACAGCAAAGGCGGGGTGTGAAGTCTGTGACCGTCCCTCAAAATCTCTCCTCTACCTGTGCTGTGACCACTCGGCTCCCGAGAAGGCTTATACCAGGATCGGATAAGGAGGACGGATAGTCTTGATAAAGCCCAAGATCGCATCACTGCATGTATCCGGCGAGGCTGCCGCGTTTTATGAGATGTGTAGAATCACCAGACGTTGTGTTTTCCGGATGTTCGGTGTCCCATATCGTCGTTCTTACAGATTCACCAGGTGCTGCAGAGTTTCCACTGCGCATTGGCGAAGGAGCAAATCCAAAACCTGAGGGTCCAGACAAAGGCGGCAGCAATCCAAAAGAAATCGAAAAGAAGAACGACAAGAAGCCTCGAACCTTGGCCGCTTGCAGAGCAAGGCACACCATGGACTCGGCAGCGTCCTGCTGCGAGCTTTGGCCGCCGAAAGAATGCCATCGTTGGCTAGACCTCGTGAACGAGGCACAAAACGTGCGGGGTATACTGCTTGCTGTCTTGTGCTCCTTCTGTGGCCGTTTCAACTTTCAGTACCTCAACTTGGCTGTTCCATTATCATGACCGCCATCACCATCACCTCCATCATAACCATTGTACCTTCGTTGCGTGTCATCATCATCATCATCACCACCACCAGCATCATCCTATCATCATCTTAGTCTCATTCATCTTCTTATTCATCATCCTCATCATCAACATTACGAAATCGCCTCATGGTGATTCCTGTCAGTGGTGATGATGGCACTATTCGCGAGTCACGGTGGTGGCGGCAGTGGCAGCGGTCTCTAGTGACTAGTGGCGGCTATAGCGTGCGTGGTGGCGGAAGCGGCAGTGGCGTAGGTGCGGTGGAGGTGGTTGTGGTGCTTGCACGGTGGATGGTGATGACCAGGGGGATGTTCATGTGAAAAATACTGTAAAGTACGACAGGCCTTTAGACTCATTAACAAAAACCGCAGTTATGATAATCATTGACCATGCAGACCATACATTACAGCAATGAAACATGGTCCCTAAGCCACACTCATGCCCGGTGCCGTTAAGCAGCAGTCCACCAACATCGTCACGAAGAAGCTGCGCTGCCTTGCAAGCGCGAATGTGCAGGAAGCACAGGTCATCGGATTCTGAGAGCTGAGTTTCAAGGGAAGATACGAAGTATGTAGCTAGCTAATTGTTTCAGCCGCTTGGAAGTTTGAACCGCTCTCCATCTAAACAAACAAAACCTACCTAGCATCGATTCGGGCATGCTAGGTCCAAGGCCACACACATACACTGATCACTTGATACGACCAAGGATCACTGGAAGCCAGAGACTCGACAAAGTCC